TTGGCAGCCTCCCTTGGCAGGGAACCATGGGCTGGCCTCTGCTGCTTGGGCTGTCACATCCTTGCTCCTTGTACTATATTTGCTCTGGGGATTTCCGTTTCCAGGACCAGCTGGAGAGCTCGGATGTTCCTGCATGAGCCTCCACTGCTCACTGAACCCTGACAAGGGATGTGTGGTTTTACTCATCAGTTCTCCCCACAGCACTAGGGGACCTTGATTTGTTTCTACTGTGATGGATGCTTTCTCTTTTAGGAAAACGAAAAGATGGTGTTATTTGTCTGTGAGAAGGGCCAGTACCCCTTTTGGTTATGCAGTGGCTGGTGTGATACTTGAGTGTGATGGACTGGGGTGTAACACTTTGCTTCTGAAACAAGAGACAAATCTGAGGATGGTCTTGTACACAGTTGCAGAGAAAGCACAAATATCAAAGTTTAATGGGAACCCAGGTTTCCTGATGGTAACTTGTTGTGCTAACAGCAGATTCATTTGTTTCCTAATTAATCAGAAGGAGTGTTCTTTTTATTTCAGCCATCTGGTGGAGAGCATGTTGTTTAGCTTCTTGCTACTGCAAATTGGAGCTACACAGGAAAAAGGATGTTTCAACTTCTGTTTTTGGCTTGTTTTTCAAGGTTGAGTCAGTATAGAGCACGTTAAAACATACTGTAATCAGTTGCAAAGTTCATCTCTCAAGGACTGCAAAAATTTAACTTAAATTGTCCTTCCTGAAAAGACAGGGAGGTGATATCGATGATTAATTGCTTGTTATTACTTGTTTTATTCCATGTAATCAACTGCTAAGACAAAAGCAAAATTTCCTTGGTGAACTGCAGAACTATTCTAGGATACCCAATTTGTTACCACTTTGTAGAGAACATTCAATGTCGCTTTTACATTTCTTGTTTGGATTAATGTCAAAAGCATGTTGCCTGTCAAACAATTTGTCGTTGAGTGTGCCATTAGCTTGCTAACTCCTCACAAGGATTTTAAAACATTGCATTTTTTTTCCCCCTCCAGAAGTCCCCTTAGCGCAGCCTTTCTTTGGAAGCTATATTGTTCTTGTGGAATATTTTCTCAGGAGCAGTCTGTCCCTATGTGATGTTTACTGTATTTTTGCCTTGCAGCCAGCAGATTTTAGTACAAACTTGCCTGGGGGTGGCCTTGTCCTATTTTCCTCTTAGATGGTTCTGGCATTTATAGAGCTTGGGAGATCGTGCTTCTGAATTTTCCAGTCTGAAGAGCTCGAGCCAAAACAGCAGGGGAGATAGCAAACCTGTACGTTGTTTGGCTTACGGCAGCCGGGCCTGTTTTTCCTTTGACCTAAAGCAATGGCAGCTTTTCTTGGGTTTCGTGTGGAGGAGGGGGGAAGTGAGGAAGAGGAAAGCTACGTGAGGAAAACTACTTTATCTCTGTGATTGGAAAAAGCAAGCCTTATCTCTGCCTCAACAATCCCTCTTTTTGCACCATTGGCAAAGGTAACTCCAAGCTACTTTCACATGGCATGTAGAGATTGTCTTTGAGTTACTTTATGAGTGCTGGTTATTCATAAGAAAAGTGACTGTGTATAGTTTTAATATTGCATTAATGTTTTTGAAAAATAAACTCTTTATGTTGCAGTTTCATAGCGCTTGCAGAATGAACTTTATATTAGGGGACTTGGCAGTTTTTAGTGACATCTCATAGCTTCCCATCAACCTGTATTTTCTCCCTTACATCACAGTTACTGAAATAAAATAGCCTTGCCAAGTAGGTCCCAAAGTCTCCACTGAGGAATGAGTTGTGATGAATGATTGTGGAGATATATGAAATATCCTGCAGATGGGTGGCTCAGAGGACATAACAACTCTTTGGGGTTTGGACTTCTGCTTTAAGAGCCCTTCTTGTCTTTAAACACTGTCTCTGTAGTTATACCCTCTAAATGAGGTTTCCTTTGGAAATAAATTTCACTGCTTCTGCCTTTGAGATGTTGTAGTCTTGTATTTATCAGCAGATGTTTCCGTTAAGTTTTGCACTTGTGTAACAGAAACATTTAGTTGTGCCATAGAGTGAATTTATTCCTAGAGGAATGGGTTTGCATGTGATTATTGGAATCCTGAGCTTTTGAATTCCAGGAGAATTGAGGGTTCCCTAAAAAGTTTGTGAGAACAACAGAGCGTGGTGAGGCTTAGTACATGCTTGAAGTGGAACACAGAAGAAAACAGCCTGTGTGTGCCAGGAATTTCGAAGGAACTCCTAGTGATTAAACCAAATTAAAAATCATCATATTTCCAAAGAATGATAAGATTCCTCTTTGGATGTCTGCACTGGTGTGGGACAAATGGGTGACTGACCCTCAGCCTCCCCAAGCTGAAAATAAAAGGAAATAACAATTTTAATCTTTGTCTGTGTTTCAATGTTTTCTCACTTTATGTTGCTCCGTAGTTTTCCTTCCTGATATGTGTGGATCTCCACGATGCTTGTTGTAAGAGAAACTCTTGTTTCTGCTGTAGTTCTGGCAAGAGATGACAGTGAGAAGCTGCATGGCTGCTCCTTCTGTGAGGGAGCTGTTGACCAGCTTCATAGCATAAATTCTTTTCCAGAATAAGAATTTTCTTAATCGGCAACTTTGATGAATTTCTCTCCTCCCCTCTTGTCCCCCTCTGAGTTGGTCAATCTCACGTGCAAATCATGTTTCATCCTAAAGGGAAGAATATTTTGGGCCTACAGGTGGATGCAAGGAGGACATTAGAGCAGGTGCACACTACCCTTGAGGTTTCTCGTTGGAATAAGAAGTGTTAGCAGAAAGTTGGTGCTGTAGAACCAGCCTCTCCAGTCTCTCTTGGCTCAACAGTGTGAATGCCTCAGGCTGTCAGAGTGGGCCAGGAAGGAGCTGAGCCTTTCAAAAAAGATGCTGGCTTCAATATCATTAGGTGTGTTATGTAGGCAAGTAGTCCAGATCTGCCGAGCTGGTCTATATTTATTTTCCTCTCTTCTCTCCATTCATCAAGTCCACGCTGCAGTAGGAGGCTTTCTTTCCTTGGTAGTCTAGTTTGTTACCAACATCCTCACCTTTTCAAGTTTCACTCTATGT